CATGTTTTGGACAGATCTGGCATCACTATTCCCCTTCCAGGTATATATGTTCTAAGAGCAGGCCTCATTATCTCCTTCTTTTTCTTTCTCTTTCACAATTTTCTTGCACATGTATGTACACACATACACCATACCATGCCATAACCACAGTGACCACACGTGCTTCGCCACGGCCGAGTGCAGAAGGTGCAACACCGCCAACTTTTATCGCCTCTTTTTTTTTCTCCTCTTTGGCTGATAGCAGACAACTATCCGTAAGCGCTTAAGACTGACGTAGCCGTAAACTTAAGGTAAGGCAGAGAAAAACATAAGCCGTAGAACACGTGTTCCTTACGGCTTATGTTTTTCTCTGCCTTACCTTAAGTTTACGGCTACGTCAGTCTTAAGCGCTTACGGATAGTTGTCTGCCATCAGCCTTTCCCTCCCACGACCGAGATACATTCGCGCATTCCGCGCGCAAAACCACGCGCGTACAAGCGTCAACCGCGGCCGCACGTGCTCGCGACACGTTCACCTCGGCCGAAGGGCAGCAGGTGCAGGCCAGTGCAGATCCGTCCGCGCGCGCGGTCGAGCCTCTCCCGAGTGAAGTGTGCCGCAATTTGCGACGGCGGCGGCGAAGGGGGATCGTAGGGGAGGCGCTCGCTCGCTCGCCGATTCGGCCGATTCCGTTCGCCGCGCGCTATAAAGTAATGCGCCGGCGAGCGGAACGCACGGAATCGGGACTACGTGATACAGCCGCGCGCGTGCGATGCCCGACATGCTGACGATGGCTGACGAAACACCGAGGGATACGTTGCTGGCTCGCGTGCGGGAGCAGGGCGAGGTGGTGCGACGACTCAAGGCGACCAAGGTCGACAGCACGCAGGTACAGCGGCCCTCCCTTCGGCCCTTCCGCCCTTCCTCCCGTCCTCCCCGCGGAAATGCGGAGACGCGTCACGTCCCCGTGACAGATGTACCACCTACTTTCTCCTTCTCGTTTTCGGAGGGGGCTCGGCTCGGCTCGGCTCGGCTCCGCTCCGCTCCGCTCCGCGCCGCGCCGCGCCGCGCCGCGCCTGATTACACCCTGTCAGCGTGTCAATTTCACCTCCTCCCGCGAGTTCGGTCCGCCGCGCTCGAAAGCAATCTTCTGGTCTTTTTACCTCGCACCTTGCATCATGCTCTCTTGGCTTCACGTCTCGATCCTCTCTTCCGCGTCGTCGCCAGGGTCCGTTGGCTCTTAGCTGCGCTTCTTTCGCGTTCCGAAGTGCGAAACGGACCTCTCGGTACGGTGGGCTCCTCGCACTGCGACGGCAATTTTGCCCGAGGACGGGCGCGAAGAGCAGATTTCCTCTCTTTCGTTCGCCACCAATGCTCCTGGACCTTTCTCTAGGGAGACCCGTCTCGTTTCTCAGGAACACAGCGTGCAGTCTGATATAAGTGTCGAGTTAGAAAGCTTAGACGACGATCTCGCGGACGTCAGCTACGTGTGCGGCTGGTGCCCGACGTCCAGGGACGCCGAGCTGTACGACGCGCTGCGCGTCGTCCTTGACGACGAGCTCGCGAGGTGGCCGCATCTGTACAGGTGGCACGTTAACATGACGAGCTTTACCCGGGAAGAGCGCCTAGCATTTCCCGCCGCGGAAGCGCCGCTCACTTCCCTGGCGGAAGAGATCGGCCGGCTCAGGTGCACTCGCTATGTTAGCAAAGACACGCTTGACAAGAAGGTGAGGCAGCCGGTCGCTTTGCAAGCAGAGCTGCCATCAATTATTACGCAATCGCTGTGTGGCGAACACGCCACAAGATTCTCCCCGCGGAAGCTCTTGCGCGGCGGGAGGCAAATGTGTTTTTCCAAGAAATTCAGTTCCTCCCCGATTCCGTAGGCTTGAAATTCGCGCGAGAGGGAAAAGGACATTAATTGTAGACTACGGCGATAATTAATGGCAGTCTCTCACTAGCTTGCTTACTGATATTATCTCTGCTGTTTGGACTAGTCTGATAAATCAACATTGAGGGGGCTTTTCTCTTTCATTCTGGTTGCCTCGTAATTCCTTCGTCCGTTCACGATGTTACGCCTGATGCGCAACAATACTTTCCCCGTCGTGTGGAAACGCAATTGCAACGTGTCGATGTCCACGACGCCACAGGTGGGTACGACGTTCCCGACTATCGTGCCCTGGCGAACGAGAGCGATGGCCGCGTTCCCGCCGCTAACGGCGCGCTCGTTTCTGTTCGTAGATAGCGGAGGAAGTTGCCAAGTTGTTGGACCTGAAGGCGCAATTGGGGGAGGAGAATGGTTGCCCTCACAAGCTCATCCTCAAAACGCCGAAAGGCACGAGGGATTATAATCCGGAGCAAATGGCGCTGCGGCTGGGAGTGCTGGACAAAATAATATCAGTATTCAAGCGCCACGGCTCCGAGACGATAGACACGCCTGTATTCGAGCTGAAGGTGAGAGCTGTCGTCGAGCCCGACGACAGCTAATTTCTCGACCTTACTGGTATTAATATCGATACTGACTTGACTTATTACATGCAGGACGTCTTAACGGGTAAATACGGCGAAGACTCCAAGCTCATCTACGACCTCAAGGACCAGGGCGGCGAGATCCTCGCACTTAGATATGATTTGACAGTTCCTTTCGCGAGGTATCTGGCCATGAACAAGATCTCTTCCATTAAAAGATATCACATTGCCAAGGTCTACCGAAGAGATAACCCTGCCACGACAAAGGGCAGATATCGGGAATTTTATCAGTGTGTAAGCATGTTCCAGAGATGGTTTCATTGACATTGACTTTTGGCATTTCACGTCTAACCAGAATAAAAAATAAATAACGATGGCTCGTATGATACAGTCAAGCATAATGGAAGGGGCTCAGAGCCTGAACAAGGTTGTAATGTCCGATAAAATTACTATACTAGCAAATGTATATATACGGTTTGGTCCTTATTGGACCATCTTCAGTATAACGAAAAAATTATAAATACTATTAAAAACATCGATTTGCGAATTAAAGATATACATAGATTACGCAGTCAGTAATATAAAATTGTAATAAGAGACGATAGTACAAAAAAAAAACGCGGCGCAAGTAGATATAACATCATGAGTAAAAAAGTGAAAGTCAGGTAACTGTAAAAATAAAATAAAAGACGGTAGTACGAAACAAACGGCGCAAGTGAATATAACATGCTGAGTCAGTAAGTAAAAAATTGGAGCCGTGTTGGGCTACGTGGATGACGATATGGTAATGGAATAAAAACTTATGTTGCCAGTAAATAATTAAATGTAGGAAATTAATAATCGGCACAACTGGCAAATTCTAATTAAAGACATTTATTGCGAAAAATGTTGCTTCGGTCAGGACGTCTTCTAGACTGAGGGAAACGCTCGTCTAGAGTGTAGGGAGGACAGGGAATCCGAAAGGATTTCCCCTAAGTAAAAAAAAAGGTCCAGGTTGAAACCTTGGCTGGGGTAATATATTTCGCAATAAATTTCTTTAAGTAGCATTTGCCAGTTGTGTCGATTATTAATTTCCTACATTGGTTTCATATTTAACTCGATATTGTCCAGGATTTCGATATCGCCGGCCAGTACGATCCGATGCTACCGGATGTGGAGTGCATCAAGGTTGTGTGCGAAGCGTTGGAAGCTTTGAATTTGGGGCCATACTTGATCAAGGTGAATCACAGGTCTCTGCTGGACGGCATATTCGCCGCGTCCGGTGTGCCGCAGAGTAAATTCCGCAGTATTTGCTCCGCCGTGGACAAGCTGGACAAGAGCCCGTGGGAGGAGGTGAAGAAGGAGATGACGGACGAGAAGGGATTGGACGAGCATATCGCCGATAAGGTCGGCAAGTACGTCTCGCAATCCGGTGGAGTGGAACTGGTAGCAGAGTTGAGAAAAGACAAAGAGCTGATGAAACAATCCGCCGCTGTGAAAGGCTTAGACTCTATGGAATTGTTGCTCAAGTACTGCGGCATCTACAAGATCCTGGACAAAATCAAGTTCGACTTGAGTCTCGCGAGAGGACTCGATTACTACACGGGCGTAATTTACGAAGCTATTTTGTGCGGTACGTATATCCATCTCTTTCTAGATTTTTTCGCGTACAATGTAGCACACGTTATGAAGTGATTCTGGCAAACTATTAATAACGCTCGTTGATTCTTCACAGGAGACGATGTCGGTGTTGGTAGCGTAGCAGGCGGTGGCCGTTACGACAATTTAGTGGGGATGTTCGATAGCAAGAACAAAAATGTACCCTGTGTCGGCGTGTCGGTGGGCGTGGAGCGGATATTCAGCGTCATGGAGGCGAAATTGGCTAACAAGGGCCTGAAAACGCGCACTGCCGAGATCGAGGTGTTCGTGGCGAGCGCGCAGAAGAATCTGCACGAGGAGAGGATGAAGATATTGGCGGATCTCTGGGGTGCCGGCGTAAAGGCGGAGCAGTCCTACAAGAAGAATGCCAAGCTCCTGGCGCAGTTGCAGCACTGCGAGGAGAACGGCATCCCGTTGGCGATAATTATCGGAGAAGGCGAGCTGGCGAAGGGTGAAGTTACACTGAGAGTCGTTTCGACGCGAGAGGAGACTCGCGTGCCACGCAGCAACCTCGTCGAGGAAATACGGAGGCAGCTAAACACGCTGTCGTAGCATCCTTGTACATACATGTTCTTACTGTCGACATCAGTACAAGAAAAATATTTATATCGCATTTAGTTACATTTCGATCCGCGCGCTGGGAAAAGTGTATTTATTAGCTTTTGCATTGTTTTATTTCGCACAACGTGTTAATAACCGTGATAAACTCTCAATTGTCACCGATAGACGCTAACTGCGAAATCGTACAATAAGTAAATGCACGAGGAAGTGTAACGACGCTCTACACTTGCCACGTGAACATGTAGACAATTTTCACATGGATAATCCTTTAACTGAATTTCTCCGGATGAAATCTGGAATTTAACCGGATTTTTAACCCTTTTATGACCGATTCCCCCCCCTTTTTTTTACTATTTTTGTAAGTAAAATATTGAAGGAATCAGAGAAGCAAAAAGTGTACTTATGTGTCCCAGTGATCATGAAAGGGTTAAACTGGCAATAATTCGCAGCTTTGAGCTACCGCTCGAGAAACCAAATACATCTTTATAATTTATTCTGTAAGCAACTGTCAATAAAAAGTTACAAATTTCGTAGAACGTGCCTCGTCTCTTTCTGTATTACATTCAAACATTGATTTAGTGGAATAAATAATCGCGCGAGTGACTGATAAATGTCCAAGTCACGAAATCGTAGCTGACAATATTTGAATTGCAATACAAAGTATTAATTCGCAAGTTACTTCGATCACTTGATGTAATTTATGTCCTAACATGATGAATTCTCGCGCGCGCAAATCAACGAACTCGTTATTTATTAATGTAGTATTTCCTCGTGATCTGTTCACGTAATGCTTATGTTTTCTAAATAAATTTGATTAACTATCTGTTAAATTGAGGATATGCCTTATTCATTATATCACAGTCTTGTCTCATATCAAGTTTAAATTAAAACCTAACAACTCGCATATTTTAATGTACTTACATTTCTAATAATTATCATTATATTAGCATTATCTAGTGTCATAAAATACACATTTCTCTCGAAAAATGCTACAAAAATTCGACTAGTCTGAAAAATTAGATATATTGATAAAGACAACTTTTCAAAGCTGGTCGCCTTATTGTTAAATTACATTCGCTGGAATTTGCATTCAATGTAAAAATTATACTTCCTCTACCTACAGTCTTAATCAATTACGCATCGTTTCAAAGCGAAACAAATTCGTTAGTTACTATAAAAGTTCCTGTATTGACGTATTATACATGCATGGAGTGGAATAGGGTGAAATAGGATATCATTTCGTGTAACATATGCAACGGAGCTGCAAGTCTCTAATGCGCAAGATTTATGCGTAAGCTATCCTTTTCGATAACTCGGGTAAAAATTTGTTTCTCACAAAATGTAGAGTCAATCTTTTCGTAACAAAAATGTCATCTCTATAAATGGCGTTTATATACTTAAAAAATGGTTAATATCTCGACATTTCTGCTGACCAAACTTGACTCCAAATTTCTCTGTCCTTAAAATTAAATAACACACCATGTTTCCTTAATCGTTGTCTTTCGCACAACACGATCATGAATTTGTTCCCCTTTCATTTTTCCCAGGTTTCTCGACTTTAACTTCTCTCAAGTCCGTATCCTCTTCCTTTTGAGCAGCCCTTGTCATAGCTCTGTACTGCTCGAACGGATTGATCGTCGGCTTCTCTATCGTCACTTGCAACGATGGCTTGTACGAGTCTATCAGCACGCTGGGCTTCTCTTTTCGAGACTCTGGCCTTCCGCTGCTCGTCGAAGCGCCTAAATTATCAATTACGTATATGTCGTCCTGTTCCTTCTCCATTTTAAGCGAACCTGCCTTGAAATCCATATTCGTCTCCTGCATTTCTCTTTGAAGAAGAGTCTTACCTAATTCGTCATTCAGCTTAACTAATTTTTGCTCGAACACGGAGGATGGTGGCTTGTAAACCGATTCATGAACTGGTACGGAATCGCTCTGGGGATACACTTCGTCCCTATGCATGCTTAAAATCATGGATTCGTTAAGTGCCGCGGGCGGCTCTTTAGAAATCTCGAAAACGAAGGGATTGATCGACGAAATTACGCCTTCCTGCTCCCTCCATGGTGCAGTTTGCTCGTCTCTGGAACCCAAGGGAACTACCGTAGAGTCCTGATATTCATTTTTCGGGATCATATTCAACTGCTCTTCCGGTGACATGATAGTCACCGTTTTCTGATTCGAGCTGGTCGACTTGCTAATGTCAACGGTCTTGGTGTTGCCCATAGCGAGGGGGCTGAGGGGAGGAGTAGTTTTCTCGCGTTTGTCAGAACCAACGTCGCTGAGGCTGGTCGCCCTGACCCGACGACGTAGATTCATCTGCGTGATCTGTCGCTGAAGCATGCCCGCTTTCCATTTCGGTAGCGGTTTGGGCGTGTGCAGAGGCGTCGGCGTGGATTTAGTGCTCGTTGGACTCGGGCTAAGTTGAGCGGGTCTTATGGAGAAGCGTCGGCTGCCGAACGGCTGTTGGATCGGTGACGAAATTCCCGGCGGACCCTCCATATTCACGAGCGGTTCCTTCGGCGATACGGAAAAGAAGGGTTCCATCGAGACGGGTTCCTGAAGATCTCGATCGTCCTTTCTCTGAGTGAGTCGCAGCTGAAAGAATATTTTCTACAGTACAAATTGAGATTACTATCGCCCAGATAGCAACAGCGAATTCGCAAGGTACACAGAGAGAATTTTCTTTTAAAATTTATCCTGAAAATTATGTAATCGTGGAACAACACGGCATTTCAAGGAGTTTTAAGAGAGTTGAAATTTTACCATACATGTCACTAGTGATCATACTTAGTATACATTTTACTAGTAAAATGTCAAAAAACTCTCATAAAGTTCTTCAAACTGCCACGTTGTCCCACGATCACATGATTTTCAGGATAGATTCTAAGAGAAAATTCTCTCCTTGTATTCTCTAAACGTTTTACCTTTCTAAATTGTAATTTTTCAGGAATTCATAGAAGAATACAGGATAAGAATGATTGGGGAAGTTACATGCACCATGATAAACTTCTGACGAATACTTCAAGATGAACTGATTGTGGTTGATTCTTCAAGAATTGTTCAGATACTCAGTTTTCAAATTCTGCAGAATATTCTTTAAAATGAATTCTCTAAGACCTTACGTTCATTCTTGTGCTATCTGGGCATTTGTGTTAAATTATTAATTAGTCTACGCTGTCGTGTCTCAGTCAAGCTTTTAAATTTTTAATATCAGTTGTGAAAATTTTATAGCTGTGGAAGTTTACGAGAATTGAACTTTCAGTGCGAGCTTACCGACAATCGTGGTGACCGATACTCAGGCGGCGTGGTAGGACTTACTGGAGTCGCTACCGGCCTCAGAGAGAATCTCCTAGGCCTAACAGGAACGCTTCCCTTCCTGATGTAAGATGTAGGCGTGCTAGAGCCGGAATAATTGTTCTCGGGCAATTTAAGGGACATTCTCCTCGATTGCACTCCCGAGACGGTACTCTGGTTGCTCTGATTCGCCGAGACTGAGCCAGGCGCGTTCGAGAAAAGGGTGAAAAGACTGGGTAACTTCGGCGGGCTCAAGCAGGCAGTTCCCAGTTTTCTCTTGGGTTTAGCGACGTACTCGTCGGGCACCGTTCCTACCCGTGCGTGAAGAGCGGTCAACGCTCTGAGGAAATCCGCTAGGCTCGTCTCTTCCAGCAGACTGTTACTTTCCAGGTAACTCGGCAGGTCGCCGCCGGTGTGCGTGTAATAATGCGGCCTCCTCGAGATCGAATCGTGCCTCTCGTCCAGGTACGAGGGCAGCGGACCGAGCGAATTGTTCTGCTGATTACTGTCGTCCACTGTTTCGACGGCTTTCGCCGTATTAGGCCCCACGTCCGACGATCTCTTGCTCTTTCTCCATCTGGGGAAGAAGTTCTTAGGCGCGGTGATCGGCAATGCGAGCGACGCGAACTTCTTGTACGGCTTGTTGTCCTTTGAGGATATAATCGTGTCGCGGTCCTTCATCATCTCCTGCAGCTTCGTCGAGGGTACTCCGGACCAGGTCCACTCCGTGTTACGTTGAACGGAATCGTCCTTCCTAGTGTGCAGTCGTATCTCGCTGGCCGCTCTGGACCGAGGCTTGGTGAACGGAAACTTTTCACCGCCGATTGCCCATTGAGCAATATTGGCTTGATCGGCCGATTTACTCTGCTGCGTCTCGTTCTGCGAATCAGTCTGCTCCTCGGTCTGGTCCCACTCGAAGTCGTCCCGTGGTGGTATGTAGCCAAGGATGTTCACCAAGCGCGCCAAGAGCTCCGCCGGTTGCACTATGGCGTGCGCGGCGAATGTCGCGTTCTTGTCTATCCTTTGAAGATCCGTCTCGGACACCACACGTGTCAGTTCGTCCTTTAAGTAATGCATCATTCAAGGCATTGCGGTATTTGAAAAGGAGACGATAAGAAAAGTTGTCGCTTACCATTGGTACCACTTCGCTGTTCGCCCGTCGTCGCGGATGCGGTATAAAGCCGTCCACGTATCCACCAATTGTTAAATCTCGGAGATTCGGAAAACTGTTACTGCGCGAGAATTTCACCGGAGGTTCCTCGGACTCGTACTCGTCTACATACACCCTCTATTAAAAAGAAAACACGTTGACTAAACGATCAATACGTTGTACAAATAACAATCGGTGTTTAGAGAGTTTCATTAATAATATTACTAAAAAAACCTATAAACAGATTTGGTAATTATAATATCTTGTGTTAATTCTTGCTAAAAGTATCTCAATTTAAAATTAACAAATATAACTTTGATTAAAGCTAAACAGTAAGCTATGTTCAAAGTAGCGAATTGAAATAGAATTTGACGATGTTTATTAATAATCGGATAAATTTATGAGCATGTCACAAACGCTTAGAAGAAGTAAAAGAGATCTTTTTCATAAGAATGTATGCAGATATTTTCGCGGCTAAAGTCAAGCCAACCAGGTTACTCACTTTGACCTTAGAGAGCTGCAACTCGTTGAAAACGCGGCGCAGGTAGTTGACCTCTTTGTTAAACTCGTTCCAAATCTTGCTCTGCGTATGCTTGAGATTCAACGCCAGTTTGTGCTCGAGCCTCGTGATCTTCTTGCTGCGCATACCGCGAGCGATGAATGTCATTATCATGACGATGTAGCCCAGTCCGAAGGAGATCCAGCAAATCAGGAATATCTTGTACATGATGAAGAACGGACCGCTCCCCTTCGTATTATCCTGGCCTGGGAGATCCAAGCAGAGAATCAAGAATAGAAATCTTATTCGCAGCGCGAAAAGTTTCTCTCTTTATTGTCTCCGTCAGTTTTTGAAAATGCTCGCTTTCAACAACTTTCAGTAACTTTCATTCAGGAGTCGTGAACATATATTTCGATGATACGCTCCGTGAGAGTATTGCGATTTATTCTTTTATTTCTCATACTTTATCATTTCAGTTACACGTTTTAATTAGTTATGTGAGCACACGTGCAAATAGTTTTACTTTTTAATTTATGGCAGGCTTATGGAGAACATTACTTACGTATTAAGATCTGCTTCCCGCGTGAGCATGTAACGATTGAAAACATTTGTCTTTTAATTAGACGCAACAAGCTAAAGTCATAGATTGCACACCTCGAAGCAATTAATGTATATGATAAGAGTACAAGTGTATGTACACCGTTTCAATATTATCAATCAGCAACAGCTGACGAAATTTATCAAACGTACAGTCTCAAGTGGCTCGATATTATCAAATCGAATCAACTACATGTTAACAATTCTGAATTTTGTATTGCTTCTCATTAGGAATAAACGTTTTGATGTGGCAAACTGGTACATACTCATGCATTCCTCTCAAAAATAGAGAGTGAATATCAATTCTTTTATTACTTAGAATCTAAGCTCGTCAAACTTGTTATATCTTTCTCTGTTATGCATAAAATAGAAATATTTTTAACTTACAACTAAGGTTTTCTTCTCAAGTTTTTACAATTTATGTATTTTCTCATTTCAATGTTATACGCGGTATCTTTTGGAAAGTTTCTGTAAGTTTCTGTAAGTTTCTCGGAAACGTATCTCGTTCAACAATTATCAATCATACAATATAATACCCAGTCGATTCGACATCGTTTCGACGAATCATTTCTCACTGGGTAGCATAATAATATGCATTCTATAATCGTTCGCCCATGATCAATTCTGTTTGTTTTATATAACGAACAGTCAATACATGAAATTCTTTTGATCATGTCGCAACCAATACTAATTTTATCGCGCTTCTGTGGCGTCTTTGCCGCACGTCAGTGCGATACGTATCGCACTCAATATAAGTACTTATATTGAGTTACGAATAATACGGCTAAATAAATGATACGAATATTGCATTATATTATTCATAGAATAAAAAAAGAGCCGTTTCCGAGAACTATCCAAAAGTCCGCGACTCGTGCGCACGGTTGCAAAAACAAAACGTGCTTCGCTCTTGCCACCGATAAAAAAAATAAGTTAATCACGTTCCGCACGCGCGTCGAAGGAATCGATAAGATAGGACGTTTACCCGCCACGAGATCTCCGAAACCGATGGTCGTGAGGGTAACGAAGGCGTAGTAGACCGATTGATCGTAGGACCATCTCTCGTAATGCGAGAACAGGATCGCGGGGAAGAAGATGAACACGATGAAGCCGGGCGTCAGGTACAGAAAGATCTGAGCGGCCAGTCTCATTGTTTTACGGGTCTCGGACGGTATCGTCTTCTTGGATGGATAATCGTTCAACACGGACTGACGTTGCTTGTAGGACTTGTACTTCCGGTAGGCTCTGATGAACACGCGGCTGAAAAATTCACCCAGCTGCGTCAGCAGAATCCCGTTCATCGGGATGCCTATGAGACCGTAGAAGATCATCAAGATGCGGCTGAGGGTGTTCGTAGGCGCCAAATTGCCGTATCCTGCGTAGTTAACAATAGATCATTTAGGAAAAATAAAGACTAACGAAGATTGAAAGCTACACGGAGAGAATTTTCTCTTAAAATTTATCCCGAAAATCGTGGGACAACGCGGCATTTCGAAGAGAGTTTCATGAGAGTTTTGTGAAACTTTATCATACATTTTACTAGTAAAATTTAAAAAAAACCCATGAAGTTCTTCAAAATGCCATGTTGTCCCACGATTACATGATTTTCAGAGTAAATTTTAAAAGAAAATTCTCTCCGTGTACTGATAAGATTAATCAAAATTGATTAATTTTCAGGAAATATTTTAAAGATCACGCACGGTAAAATTATAGCTGATAATTAGAGGAAAGTTCCCTATTATGAGATAGGCTTTTAATGCGAGCGAGCAGGTTTTCAACGTCCAAACTCAGTCACAAATCCTTTTTCGCGACGATTACGCGATCTAACAATGAATCTTCCACTAAACAGATTTTATTTCAAGAGCAATAAATTCATGGTGGAACCAATGCTTGTTAATTTAACAGAAACCCCACTATCTCATATTACTGACTTGTCTTAAAAAAGGCGGCTTTCCTCTATATAATTAATCCAAGGATAAATCAGAGGAATAATAGCTTAGAGAAATTAGTATATTTAACAAGTACTTATTCTCTAACTAAGCCGCTCGAAAGGTATCTCGGTTTCTTGGAACGTTTTAGGTCTCCAAGACAAACACGTAAATAAGAAGTTGTGTAACCGTACGTAATTAAAGGGTATAGAGAGAGTGTCGTAAGGCTATAGACCATTGACTTTAGATAAAAAGTCAGGTTCTAGATACGTTTTAAAGGTACTACGCCATTCGAACGCTACAATTGATAGGTATCTACCGATAGTGCTGACGACCGTGTAGGCAAAATAAAAACTGTTGTAGTAGTCCCATTGTCTGTGAACGACCTCGTCCTCGGTGTAATTGAACGGCTTGCCGCAGTACTCTGTGAGCTTAAGCAGAATCTCTTCCTCACTGTGGTCCTCACTGGGCGCATAATGATCACGAAGTAATTCTGAAAGGAATAATTACACGTGTGTACGCGCTTGAAAAGGCAGATAATCTTAAATTTTATCTCGCGCCTCCGTCCGTTCACCGGGAGAGATAATCCCTCTCTTTCGCAATCCTTTCAGTACGTTTTCGAGACAATTGCTGTACACAGCTTTAATCTTATCAGCCGATATTTGTCGTCTTATATTGCCGGTTTGTACAAGCAGATCCTCGCCTGGACCTTCCGCGCAGGCAATCGCAACCGGAACGCGGGCTGTCTTTCGCTGCGTATCGAGGCTGACAGAATATCAGGACGGTGCAGCGTCTCTTGTAGAGAATAAGAAAAGATAAATTAAATAATCCCGCAGTCTTCCAGGGCATACTTTTATTCGTAATGGGGCACAGCCGCCTGAGGTAGAGGACAACAGGCACGAGAGCGGATATTGCTTCTGATGCGAATTCACGGCGGTTTCGACAGGAGTGGCCTGACGAGATAACGATTTCGTAATCGATTTCGGTGACACTGACACTGGCCGTCGACTGAAGCCGACTGTTCGCGCCGACATTGTCTGGCCGGCTCGAACAATGCCCTTTTCTCGCGCGAACAATTTGCATCGGGCACGGTCATGCACACAAAAACCCAATGACGCCGAACGGCCGTGCCGACTTTCCGGCTGTTGGCGAGATTGTTACAAAAGATCCGACGCATTTTGCAGAGTCCCTCGTGCGAATTCAGCGTTCCGAGAAGTCCAACCTTCCGGAGAACGGTTCCGAAAGTTCAAAGTGTCTAGAGTTTGAATCCCGAGGTGATAAAGATCCTGTACACTGAAAGAATTTTCTCTTGAAATTTATCCTGAAAATCGTGTAATTGTGGGACAACACGGCATTTCGAAGAACTTTATGAGGTGTTTGAAATTTTACCATACATTTTACTAGTAAACATGCGAATGCGAAACGAACACGGCTTTCATAGTAATAAATATGGGTGTATCTTCAAGAAGATGGGCACTAAGACGCGCCACTTCTTAATTTTAGCTGCATTTTACTAGTAAAATGTATGGTATAAAATTTCAACACACTTGCATAAAATTCTTAGAAATGCCGTGTTGTCCCGTAATTACATAATTTTCAGGATAAGTTTAAAGAGAAAATTTTCTCCGTGTACAGATTCTGAGACTGTCGATTGCGGCATCTGGAAAATTTAAGATGTTGAATGAAATTAAGCTGTTCGAGAGAGAGAGAGAGAGAGAGAGAGAGAGAGAGAGAGAGAGAGAGAGAGAGAGAGATTTCCAACTACTATATAAGGAATTTAGGGTCTCCGATAAATATTCCTGGTATATAAAGAATATAAAATTCACAATGACATTATCATGACTTATGAGCGATAAACGAAGTCATGATGACATCACTTCATCGTTTATGAGCGCTGAATAAATGACCAGTGATGTCATTATGAGTTTTATATTCTATCTGGAATGTAAACTTTAGAGAAATTGAACGAGACGCTCCGTCTGCCCTGCCGAAAATAATTCTACAAAATTCTACAAAAAACTAAAATATAATACAAAAAAACTAAAATATAATTGCCAGAATCTAAGAAATTCTACGTAAATTTAAAAAGTGTTATAAAAATTATCTTGAAAATGGAACACATTTGTTAATTTTTGTAATCTTCTACAAGTAAGCAAATATTTTAATTCTCGAAGATTTTGTTGTTTCTCACATTTTTAAAACTAGTAAAGTTTGGTACTCATTTTTACAAAATTGTACATTTTCATGAAGTACTATTTGCAATAATTTTTTTATTTGAAAACACTGTAATTTGTGATGCTATTTTGTAGATGTTTTTACAAAAAAATTAATGTTGAGCGAAGATATAAAAATTTCTATTTCAAGTCAATTTTTGTAGTTATTTATAGAACTTTTTTACGCTAGGGTATGTCTGTTACAATCGAATTAAGGATTTGAGAAGCGACAGGCGACCATCGGTGCAATCTCAGACGACAATCTCGATGACACAACTGATTTAGGATGCTGGAAGCATCAGGAATTTCGTTACTAACATAAGTGCATGTCGGAAGTTTCAAACGTTTTACACGCCAGACCCGTCGTCTACATGACCGTGGCCTAAGTATTATTTGCATTGATATCGCAGAAATTTCAAAGCACGTCGCAAACAACGGCATGGTAATCGGCTGATTAATTATCAAGCCAGATGGACACGACACGTCTTTGTCGTTGTTATGTTTTCTAATTTATATTACGTATATTTAAGAATGTTAAACTTTAATCTCCGTGATAACGGAATCTCAAGATGCTTATCGAAACAGAACTGTCATTTGGTATTGAAGATACAGAGACACGAATCAACAATGAGATTCTCAATTAACTTTTGAACGATTAAATTGAGAGAAAAAATGCGCGCATTCGACGTGAACGAAGCTGTCATTTCCCAGAAAACATTGAAATGTCTTAAGACGTCTTAAAGATAATCTTTAATGTCTATTTCTACCAATGTAGATTAAGTTTAATCTCGGTTTAACTTGCTTTTTATCCCTATGAGAAACGATTCGTCGAAACGATGTTAATTCAACATCGTTTCGACATCGATCGACGAGTCATTTCTCGCTGGGATCTTTTTCTAATTTTTGGAACTAGGAAAGGATAACAAAAATAGTTAAACCGAGATTAAAATTTAATCCGCATTGGTAGAAATGGACATAAGACGTCTTAATGTCTTTAAGATGTCTTGTAAATGTGTGTTTTTTATGTTTTCTAGGTGTATGTTCTTATTGAATTGCAACGCCAAAGAGCCGCAAACGTTACCGATTCCTTTCACCAGGATTAATTTATGGCGACAAATATTACCACATGCCTCAGTGGTCGAATTGATGAAACGCCCGATAAGAGTGTAGGAAGGTCAAGGTTCAAACCCTGGCTGAGGTAATATTTTTCGCAATAAATTTCTTTAATTCGCCAGTTGTGTCGATTATTAATTTCCTACATTGGTTAATCATTTACCGGCGACAATAAGTCTTTATTCTTTTTAATTTATAAAGTAAATTTCGCGTCGATATCTCGAGGGTTTCTCTCCGTATTGCGAGTGTAACAAACAGGGATATGCAGATAGTCCAATGTCGCATTGCGACTACGAATTGCAAATGACGTGCAACTACATGTTCGCGTTTTCGTCATTCCGCACGCATGCAGCTTTCCCCTTGATAGTCCGACGAAGCTCATCCATTAAAACGACTTCCAGAAATCGGGACTGTTTTGCTATTTTTACATCTGCCAGGAATCACAAATAGAAATTAATAAATATGCATAAAATACACGCAAAATAATTTCTGAGAATCTAGATTTCTCTTTAGCATTAGTTTTCAACCTCGGACATTAAGTATTTCAATGAAAATTTGATAATAAAATTCACAAGGCTCTGATGTGAAATCGCAGATTCGAAGGAATGAAGGAGTAAGAGCCAAGACAGGATGTTAATGTCTAAATAATTTTAATTTTTAAATTATCCAGTTATCAAAGTCTATTATTGAATAAAAAGTAAAACTTTATTATACGTTCACGTGATTCTCGGGAAGTCCTTCATTATTTTTAATCATTGAGATTTGGAAGAACCCTCGAGGTTTTCGTTAAGAACGGATCAAGTATAAAATTGATAGGCGAGACGAGTCTCGGTAGATCTTCAAATTGCATTTACCTATCAAATATCAGAATAATACAATATCAATTATCAATTGTGTCAAGCATTCGGAAGTTATAAGTTCTCGTTAACGAGAACACGTCGAGGGACCGCGGGATCTTCACGCGAGATAGCCGTTCGTCGGTGTTATATTATTGTCGCCATCATTTTCTCACCGTTGATCTCGCGGCGTTCGATTTTTTCCCTCTTGATCTTCTGGTTCTCGTAGTAGCTCTCGATGAAGTAGAAGATGGTAGCGCCCAGCGTCAGGTACGTAAGGAACAACAGCAGCAGAGCGAGCCATTGCTTCTTGGACATTCTCGGACACTCGCGGCGAGATGCTGAAGTCCGGCGAATCTGGCGTGGACCAGGGCGAGAGGGACGGCTCCCCACGGAATGACGATTCCCGTCGTCAGACAATCAGGACGTCGCTGTTGAAGCGGCGAACGCACCGCGGACGCGGATTCTCGACATGATTCCCGGTGCGGATGAAGCTGAACGAGTGAGCTTCCTGGCTCGCTCGCCACCAGCGCACTAACTTTTCCCCGTGAGGAGCGGCTTCCTTTTACGGCTTCTTAAGCGGCGATTGTCGTCGATATCGATTGTGACGAGCTCTCACGAGGGCGATGTTATCACCGCAGCCCGGTATCTCCGATCCATCAGAGGTCTTCTTGGCGAACTAGGCGTTGCGGCGCCATCGCGGTTGCGTCTCGCTGCTAGGTGCCCGGGGAACCCTGCGACCAAGAGATCGTACAGTGTACAACGATACAATGATACGGTGATCAAGACGTGGACAGGGCAATCCTGCAAAATTTGAAATATACGACGCCGCGGTATCAATTTGATTTGTACTCTCTGAAGTTTTGGAGCGCAAATAGAACCGTGGAGTAAAATATTCACTCTGTTGGAGCAAATGTTTACTCTATTAGAGTGAACGAATATTTCACTCCACGGTTCTATTTTCACTTCAAAAACTTTGGTGAGTACCAACTGTTAATACAAACTACGTTGCAATTGATGCACGAGTTAAAATATCCGAGCAGAATTTGGACAGATGTACAAAACCGATGACATCTTCCTCACCCTTTGAGAGGCTCTGTTAAGATTTCCCGGGACCATCTGACTGTTTAGATTTCCAGGTGCACGGCCAGTAATTCGGCAGCTCGGAACGTCCTGACTCGCAAAACTCGTAATTAGTCGAAGTGAAATCTATCCGGCGCACCTTCGGCGTCGAACCACCAAAACCCTTCCTTTCTTCGACAATGCCGGCTGCACAATACGTTCGGTCTCCGCCGGTGGACACCATATATTCTATCCGGCCGGCCGGATCGCGAATAGCGCAATAGAGATCCACGTGGATCGTAATAGCGATCGATTTTTGCATTCGCGAGGATAATTTACGGCGTGAAACAACGCACCGCGCGTGTCTCTCTCAAGTTCACGCCTCTCGTCCGGTCGTGTGACTCGTCGGCGGTTCGAGCGCATGGCATGGAAATTTGCATAAGTGCATATCGCACGAGACAGCACAAAGTATTTCAGAATTGGCGGAAAGTCATATGAGGTCATATGAGAGACAGCTCGCGTCGCTCTCTGCGAGAACGAGAGAACGGTCTTGGCTGCTTTCTGACGGAAGGGTCGAATTATATTGAATGAAACAGACGATCGAAAGTCGACGTTTCCTACACGGAGAGAATGTTCTCTTAAAATTTATCCTGAAAATCGCGTGATCGTGGCACAACATGGCAATTTGAACAACTTCATGAGAGCTTTGTGAAATTTTACCAGCAATAGCATGGAAATTTGCATAAGTGCATAGCATTTTGAACAACTTTAGGAGTTTTTAAATTTTACCATACATTTTACTGGTAAAATTTCAAGAAATTCTTCGAAACGCCGTGTTTTCCCTGGCAGAAAAATTTCTATAAATAACTACAAAAAAATTGACTTGAAATAGCAATTTGTAGAAATTTTTATATCTTCGTTGAAACATTAATTTTTTTGTAAAAATATCCACGAAATAGTACCACAAATTACTATGTTCTCAAAAAAATTATTGCAAGTAGTGTTTCATGAAAATGTACAATTTTGTAAAAATTAGCACAAAACTTTACTAGTTTTAAAAATTCGAGAACCAACAAAATCTTAAAGAATTAAAACACTCGCTTACTTGTAGAATATTACAAAAATTAATAAAAGTGTTCCAATTCTAGCATTTTTATGTTAATTTTTATAACATTTTTTAAATTTATGTAGAATTTCTTAGATTCTGACAGTTATATTTAATTTTTTATAGAATTTTGTAGAATTATTTCTGACAGGGTTCCCGCGATTACATGACTTTCAGGATAAATTTTAAAAGAAAATTGTCTCGGGGTAGCTGAGAGTTAAATTAAAAATTATTAAATTAAGTAAAATTATTACGTTGCAAGGTTCGTTTCAAGCTAACCAATCGCACCGTATTAATTCGGAAGAAAACTGACATCATGCGATTTTCTAGCTTGAATCGATCTCGTCCTGCTACATAACAACTATAATTTAATAATTTTTAATTCAACTCCTGGCTGGGCTATCGAAATGTCGATATGATTTGATCCGATCGCGTCTTTCATTCAATTTAATTAAAACGCCATCGCGTGACACAGTGAAATGGAGACGGTCGAGTGGTCGGAAGATAGACGCGTTCGATTCGTCTTGATCCTCTTACGGCGTTGCTACATGCCCATAAAAATGATTTATAACGCGCTAAGAACGTCTCGGCCACAATGGTCCCGACGTGTCGGTCGCTATTTGCTAATAACGCCGATGTGGACGTTGCTCGTTTGTACTGGTCTGAGAAAATTCGCTCGCTTATTGCGAGCAGAGGTCGGAGGCTCCTCGGTAACAGAGGAATATTAAGTTTCAGATAAAGAGAGAGCTCTCGTCTGCCGAATTTAGCCTCGAGTGCCAGCGAAGAAATATATACATATATATATAAAGAGATAAACAGATACGTTTCCTCAAAGAGTTAGGAGGATTATGTTTTACGGATTTCACACCCCTCGGTATCTCCACTTCGTGGAAAGAATTCTGTCGCCGAATTCCTCTTGTTCTCCACCCGCGCGACGAAAGAAATAATGCGTCACGTTATCGCGAATCTTCGGTGACGTTAACGCCACATCACGCCAGTATCGACGATCGTCTCTAATTGACGAGATAAATTTGCGGACGCATTTCGTGCATGGACATTTCCTCCACTCGCGAATGACGACCAATTATCGCGTTATACTCTCCTCAAGTACAGTTCGCTGGTCTTACTTTTTTTTTGCACGTCTAAAATCAGAAACATGATTCATTATAAAAATGCAGTTACTATCAGTAGAATGTCTACACGGAGAGAATTTTTTCTTAAAATTTATTCTGAAAATCATGTGAGATCGTGGGACAACGTGGCATTTTGAAGAACTTTATCGCAGTTTTTTGAACTTTTACCATACATTTTGCCAGTAAAATGTCTGGTAAAATACTAAGTCAAGTAATAAAAGAAGGGGCTCAGAGCCTGAACAAGGTTGTAGTGTCCAATAAAATTATTTAATTAGATGGTCCAATAAAGTCCGAAACGTATATATGCAATAATTTTATTGGGCACTACACCTTGTTCAGGCTCTGAGCCCCTTCTTTTATTACTTGATTTCATCATACGAGCCATTGTTATTTATATTATGTATTCTAAGTATAATTACTAGTAAAATGTATAGTACATTGTTAAAAAACTCTCATAAAATTTTTCGAAATGCCGCGTTGTCCCACGATTACATAATTTTCAGGGTAAATTTTAAAAGAGCATTCTTTCCGTGTAAGTATTTGAAGCAAACGGTTCGTCGTGCTATTTTTGTTTGAGATCTTGTGCTTTTTTTCAAAAATGTAATAAAATAATCTTATACCTGGGAAGCAGAACAGCGCAAGTCCAAAAAAGCGATAAAATTAAGTTGTAAAAAAATAGGTTTTCGAGAGAAGAGCTAAGAACATCTTCATTCAGAGATTGAAACTTCATGTTTGTGTTAAAGATCATCAGTTATATACGTAGATTTTTTTCATCGATATAGACATCTATTTTCGGATGATTGCATTTGGTAGTTCGGGCTTTAATTTATATAATTTAAAAATCTTCTCAGCTTACGATGACACGAGTGCAACATAATAGTAAAGTCGGACTCGTACACTTTTGCTTCTCAAACGAAGAGACCAAAGGCCTTATTCGGTAACATAAACTGCTATTGTTTCATCGTTATTCGGTAAGACTTGCGAATCTCACGTAGAGCTGTAACTTTAAAACATAATGACGCACTTTAATGTAAGCAGGTTGAAATGATTAGTTGAATGACGTTTTACGACGGCATTTTAACTCGAATAATTTTATGGCTGTTAACGGCCACTTAACAACTGTTATTATCTTCCATTTATTGCACACGTCGTATCGGTCATGGCTGCGGTTAAAATATGCCGATACTAACGCACGTGCGGTAATTAGTTAACAATCAATGTGTAAAACAGTTGGTCGGAAAGAAATATGAAGTATTAATCACGTGTCTCGCACTTATCGATCAACTCACACGATCAAACACTAATAGCTATTACCTTAAAAAAATTGAGCGCGTCAGCATTTCGAGGAATTGATATCGATTACATTACGCTGCTAGAAATACAGTTTGTACTGTTGTAGTTTCATTAACATTAGTTAATATTGATTTCATAAAAAGAACAGATACTTTTTGACCATCGGTACAACTTCCTTTATGCATAAATTATTTAAAAAATAAAATTTTGACAAATTAATAAAGTACTAAAAATTACTTAAATTTTAAATTTTGAATTTCGTCTTCCAAAAAATTGAAAATCACTAGGCAATTCAATGTAAATCCTTTTGCTAAAAAGATTAAGTAAGAAAATTCTCACCGTTTACAGTATCAAGAGCTTATTTAAAAGTGGGCCTCGTGACTCGCTTAAATAATGCTCAATATCTAAAAATAACTTTCGTTTCCTAACCACCAGATACAATGTTACAAAATCGACCGTATCCTTCAATAAATCATATTATTTTTTGCATATTAATTAAGGTGAACATATGTCCGATATCAATCATTAAAATCGACCGAAAAATATCCACCGATAAATACTGCGAGACATCATTACGCAGTAGTAAATTGTAATTGTGTAGTAGCAATCGAATCACACGGGTTACACATATGAGATTATAATTACTAAATAGTAGAATTGATGGCGTATTGACTGTTCATCTCAGCGATAACGTCAGGATTGACATCGATACGTTATCAAATATTTTTCCATTTCTTGATTTTTCCATCAATCGCTACCCAGCTGCTGCATTTAATAACTTTTAAATATACTTGTTTACTTTCCACTTTAAATATTTTTCTTGCGAAACGCGAACTCTGAACGAGAAATTGCTAGTGAACAAAGGTGGCATTGTTACTTTTCAATTCAATTCAATATAAATGTACTTTAAATTTTTGCGAAAGATAATCGAGATATTCCATGTTGATATTTCAAGTGATATTAAACGCACGTGATAAATACATTTCTTTTTTAGATAAATCGAAAATTCACCGAATCAATTAAAGTTATATAATAGAACAGAGTAGTCGCATAGAAAACATTACACGTAAGAGTAATATTACATAGTTTTCCAATCTGTTTAAAATATACAATTAGAACATACTTGTATAGTAAATATCAATCCTAATTCACAAAAAAAAAATCGTAATCTGAATCTACATAGATGATAAATACGAATTCTCGAAAATATGAAAATTCGATAACACATACACACACACACAGAAGTTAAGAGACACTTTGTGTTAAGCGTCAACAATGGCTAAGTCGAAAATAGTACTGCTCTTTTATCTTTATCGGCTTATTTAATCGCTTAATACCCACCTGTCTCATCCGTTGCATACTGCTTTAAGCACGTTGTACATATCTGGCTTAAGCCGAAGATCCACATTTTGTAATAACGTTCACAGGCGCGGAACTTTGAATCATTTTCGGGACGGGTTAATTCTATGTACAGAGATTGACAACTCCCTTGCTGTAAAAAGTTTAAGCGTTGGATTAACGGATCAGCGCGGTCGAGTACTTGGCCGAATGGAGACTATCCGTAATCGAGAGCAGCGCTAGGCGAAAGATCGTCCAGATGGTGGGAGGACCGAAAACGAGTTCTGTAGTGCTCGTCAAAATGATCTTAAACGGAGTATGTTAAAGTGCTGCAAAAATATAAGGGAATAAAGAACATGTTTCTAATGTAATTCTAGAAAATAACTCAACATATCTGACGATTGTATTAAAAGATAGAAGACTATAAAAAGGAAGCTAAAAATTAAGACTAAAAGAATCAACGTTTCAATTCGTTTTTAATGCAAGGCCAGCCGTTTCGATCGCGGCGTGTATATAACTGCATTATCTGCTACATTTCGCGTCTCGTACTTAGCTGTGTTAATGAGTCTGTTTAATCAGCGACCCAACGCTAATAGCAGTTCCCTTTTTAGCTGTGAGAATTTGATTGGAGAAAATTATTGAATTTGTTCGAAAGACGAAACAGTATAATTTATTATTTTAATAATTTGCAATTTGATTTAATTTCCCAAGCCTTAAATAAATTTCCTTAAGATTTGAATAAACGTTGATGAAATATTTGACTGCCACTAAGGTTCGCTTAGATTCATATATAAATACGTTTTATAATATTTAGGAAAAAACAATTTAATCCTGGAAAAAAACGAAGGTACAAAACATAATACATATATTTCTGTCGACCTTCTTGAAACACTTGTATACGAAATATAAATATTATATCCATCTATCGTTATAAAATATGTCATCATACATATTTTAGTTCGGTTTCTATATTCCTATATTATGATATATCTCACAATAATCTAGTATTAATTACAGACTCGCTATTTATATGTACAGCATTTTCTTCACATATAAGTTATGTTTCATACTCATTCAACAATATAAAATCATAATATAAATTTGCCAGTAGACTGGGACAGGATATTGAGGCAGATTGTCTCAACTGCGTCGACAGTAAACTCATGTTGTACCAGCAGAGGCTGCCGATATGATTGGACAACAAATTGCTAGCAGAAATCAAGTACTCTAATCATTTGCAACCACTCAAATGGTTTATATGTTTAAATGGTATAAAATGGCACGCAGATTCTTCTGTAATTAATTTGTCTATTCCGTTACATTTCTACTGACATTTTTACCGACAGAATTTATAACAAACACACTTTGACAAATCTATCTTCGACAGATTTTTCTATCTGAGAACTACCGGAAAAGAAATAAAATAATTATTGTTTGCACATATCACAAAAATAAAAATACTTCGGAGTTACTCAAGCTCAAAACAAAATAAAATTACACAATAAAGCAGTTTACAAATTGCCAAGTGCATAGTTCTTCAATAGCTGCTTTTCCAATAAAACTAAATGTAAAAAGTCTATATAATAAAGCTGAGTCTATTTCCTTCAAATAAATTAATTAACAAAATAATTAAAAAAAATACAAATAACTCGGCTAGTCCAATATATAATTTTGGATATGATGAGGATTGAGAATATTGCATAGAAATATTATATGCTCGAATATAACTATAGATGGATAAAATGTAATATGTGATATATATTTTCCTTTGTATGCATTCACACTTTCAGGTAAGGCACTGCCTTTAGTTTAAGAACGTAATCACATATTATATAAATGTTGTCCTCTATCTTTTTTTTTAAGTAAACATATCTTGCTTGCTTACGTTCGGAATATCAATAGACAATCATATAATTTTGCTGAGATCATTAGATTCGACGCGAAAGTGAGAATTCGTACATTTTCTTAAAATAATTTTCCAGCATATACATATTTTAACATATCAATTGTATCAGATTTTATTTATTACACCGGATCAATTTTCACTTTATGTTAATAACCATGGAAACTGTCATACACCAACAAATCACTCATTGTAGAAAAATTGCTAAACGACGCTAACTGGCAAATTCTAATTAAAGAACTTTATTGCGAAAAATATTACTTCAGCCAGGATTTGAACCTGGACTTTCCTACGCTCTAGGCGGGTGTTTCACCAATTCGATCACTCAGGCATCACTCATTATTACAAAAACTCGTTGATGCGCCTATATTTTTATCCAATAAAAAATTAAAATTCTAGCTCGCAGCTGTTATCGCACTGCTGACGCAGTCAAACGTCGTTTAAACCTACCTTTTAAAATGTGCATTTGCTTATTTGATTTTGCTCGGTATTCAAAGCACGTCATCCATGAATGGTATATGTTAACGAGACTACTAACATTCAAGACTTTTCTCACACATACAAAGTCGCATACGTCACGCGTTTCCTTTCCCTCCGCATTAGTTCCATTCAAATCCTATATCCTCCATTTTGATATTTAATCCTTCGAACGTCACATCGATGCTAGGATCATCGAAACCCTCTCCCAGATCGAGCTTCTGTGTTTGAAATTTCAGACAAATAAATTACAAAAATATCGCTTTTTAAAAATAATAATCTAAAGAGAAATCCAGCACAAAATAATCGAACTCTTATGCAAACCTGTAATGCGGCAATTTGTGAAGCATCGCCTACCAACAAAATTTGTGGCTCTTTCTCGTTCGCCTCGTTGATCAGTTTAGAAACCTGGATCTGTCTTTCTCTCGCTGGTAGCTTACGCTATTCAATTAAGATTAGTTAGTCGCGTAATCACATCGAAATTTCACATCAAACTGAATAAAATGTAAAGTAAAACAGCTTTTGTACCTGCATTACACTCACGGTTTCTTTCACGGCCTTATTTTTGTTTTTATTAAGACTAGATGATTCAAGAGAATCTGGCAAAAATACATCGACACCGTCGTCATTGTCGATCAACGCATGAGCCGTTCTCTTGTGCATCACCAACGTGCTACTCTGACGATATTTTCTGGAGCACAGGGTGCATTCGAATGGTCGTTGAGGCGTATGTACCTACAAAGACAAAAATATCCAGAGACAATCTTGTACAAACGTGTCTGACCAGTATTGTATCGTAAAGCCTCGTGTCCACGATCCGAGAACTTGCAATTTTTCCGTAAAAGATGCACGTTGATTAGCTAGACATTTCTCGAAACTAGAACTTGGACACAGTGTTTAGATCGTGGACATAAGGCTTAACAATACAATGATTAATAATCGATAACAAATGCTTACAAGATGATGTTTATATAGACTAGAATATTCGGTAAACCTTCTACCACAGTTTTCTATGGAACAAACGTAGGGCTTTTCGCCCGAGTGTATCCGTATGTGATTCTTGTAGTTTGTCGCGCTGGCGAAAGCTTTGCCACACGCCGGTTGCGCGCATTTGTACGGTCGCTCGCCAGTGTGCGTCCTTACGTGAACCTGAAATTTAACAAAGCACTCAATCCCCGCTGAACCTGGACAATGAGATATTTCGACAAACGGTCGAACCTTGCGCTTCCGTACCTTCCTAATGTTACTCGTGGTGAACGATCGGCCGCAACCGTTGTACGGGCACACGAAGGGACGTTCTCCCGTGTGAGTCCTCACGTGTTTCAACAGATCGCCCGACGTCTTGAAACTCTTGTTACACGTCCCGTTCGTGCACTTGTACGGTTTCTCACCCGTGTGTGTCCGCGAGTGAGCTTTCAGGCTGTAACCGGTTGAAAAGCTCTTTTTACACTTCGGATGGGAACATCTGTACGGTCTCTGACCGGTGTGCGACCGCTCGTGAACCTACAAAATAGATTAAGAATACTGCATTTAATAACTCTGTTAAGGCCTGTGTCTACGATGCTAGAACTTGGTCCAAGTTTCGCGAAATGTGTAGCCAATCAACCTGCAGATTTTATGGAATAGCTGCAAGTTGATTGGCTACACATTTCTCGGAACTAGAACTTGGACCAAGTTCTAGCATCGTGAACACAGGCCTTTAGAAAAGATGCGAACGATGCCGCGCGATTGGTTATATAATTTGTATTGTATCTCGAACAACTGATTACCTTAAGATGATGAGGCGTACTGTAAACCTTGGAACATCCTTCCCTGGGACAAGGATACCTAATTTTTGCGTCGGACAGCTTGTTGACTAAAATCTTGGAATCTTTTTTCTTTAACTTCCCGTCCTCAATTTCCCATAAGCTTTCGTCTACGTCCACATGGCCTGCGACCATGTACGCAGTGCCGTTGATGAATTCCACCTGCGAATATGTATTCTCTACATTTTCGGTAGCAACGTCTTCGGTTTGCACGAATGTAGCTGGATCCAATTCCAGTTGAAGAGCCTTGCCATCGCCAAATTCCGACAAGTCTCGCAGCAAAATGGTGTCTCCGTTTTCGAGCGATGTTTGCAATGTTTGCGCCTTGAAGTCGGGATCTGCAAATGTACGAGTTTCGTCAGCTACTGTCAAAATGGATGTTACGCTTTTCTTCAAATGCAAATTGTATTAAGGAAACTAGTCCTTTCGTATCTTCTGGATATTAATATTTCCCAAGTCAAATTCAAATAGCTGCTAACCAATGTCGCTTAGATTATTCGTAACGAAAGCTTGAGTCCCATCGGGCAACGTAATCGTAGTCACCATCGTGCCAAGCAGTTGGTCGTCCAATATAAGCTCCTGCACTTGGGTCGAATCCTTCCCAGTGCCGTCATTGATCATAACCGACAGACAACCCAGAATGTCCATAGGATTGTTCTGAAACCGAAGCATCATAAACGTTGGAACATACAGATATCGAAACAGACTGGAAGTAAAAGGGACAAACGAAACAAATGATCAGATTGGCAAATGACATCAGACTCGCAAACCACCTTATCGTACAAAATTCATTATTCGACATCTCTAAATTGTTAGCTCATTAAAAGGATAACACGAAGCGATTTTGCTTGACGATTCACACAAAATGTTGATACAGACTTGACAATAGTATTGCGCAGTTCCATGTACCTCGTCAGACTCTTGCAGGATCATCTCCTCATCCTCCTCCTCCTCCTCCTCCTGATTCGCAATGCAATTCGAAGCTGTAGTTCGTGCCGACATAATCCCTACGCTTACGACCCAGCTGTGAACAGAAAACATTTCTCGCTGATACCTAGATGCCAGGCAGGACGACCTAAGAGTTGTCTCCTCCGAGAGCGCGCACGCCTAGCGCCGGGGCCGCGCGTGTACCTTTACCGGGCAAACCGCGATCGAACGAACGGCTCCTTCATTCCTCGCGACAACGGGCGACGGCGCGGCCGACCGGCTCGGCGACGGTTGACAGTCCGTCGTCGCCGGTGACGCGATCGACTCGCCGCATCGTTCCCTGGACGCGTCGTAAACATCGAGTCTCGTCGTCCTCGCGCACGGCTGTGCCCCTGGACACGCGGCGCGAGGAGGCGCGACACGACGGAGAGAACTCGTCGTGCCCGTGCGACGAGGGACGAGGCGTCGCGGCGCGGCGCGCCGCGCCGCGACGTCAACACGGTAGGACATGACGCGACGCGACCGCGAACCGCTCGATCGGCCGCCACGTGATGAATTGGATTTTCGCCGGTCCCCCGTACGCCAGGCACGCCACAAAGAATCTTGGGAAATATTACCCATAAACTCGACCGCCCGCGAAATCCTCCTGCGACTAGCGCGCGACGAACCGGAACTCCGGCGACGGTTGTCTCGCCATGGCGGCGTACGCGCGCCCCGATTCGAAACGCGAACGAAGCCGCCTTGGTCTCCAAATCCCAGATAGCACAAGACACCCCTATCAACATTTTAAGAGTATTCTTCAAGAATATTTGGAATATTCCGTAGGTCATTCTTATATATTTATCTTATGTTCGCGGAACATTCGACTGGCACTACTATAAATCTTTTTCGAATAGGAATAGAATAATCTATCGAACATAGCGTGTCGGTTATACATGGTATGATCACAGGCCTCACTACCTTTTGCATAAGATAAGTATATTATACAATAAACAATGTGCAATACATAAACTCGACAAATATTGAAAAAATATTCCGAACGAATATTCCAAAGACATTCTCGACGAATATTCTAAAAACGTTCTTCTTTGTTATGAATATAGGATTTCTAATAGTAATAATCTATATATATGTATATATTTATAGAATATTTGATTGGAATATTCTGAAATTAAGGATATTTGCACTTCAGAAGAATATTCATAGAAGTGTGTGTGCTATCGGGGAACGCTATTTTCAGAAACAACGGCGGAATGAGCAACCAAGGGTGGTGCTCATATTAATTCGATCGTCTTAAATATGATCGCGGAATGTTCCAGTCATTTCTTTCGATTGGGTGGAATCTCGAAAGGTCGAATTAACATTTAAATACCGCTTTCTAAGACTCTACTGAGAAATGATCGACATCGATCGACGAATCATTTCTCACTGGGTAAAGCCCGGTTTCACCAGCGTCGTTTAACTTGAAGCTTAGCTTAATTCGTTCTTCGTCTTTTTTCAACTGTTACTTTAGAAAGAGACAAACGTGAATTAATGTAACAATGAGATTAAAGTTAAACGACGTTTGGTGAAACCGGGCCTAAGGCCCGTATTCTGAAACCAGCGAGAAATGACTCGTCGATTGATGTCGAATCGACGTCGTTTCGACATCAATCGACGAGTAAGTCCCAGTCTACAATAGAGATTTAAGCCCTAAGCCTTAAGAAATTGACTAATCACAGTCGCGCATTCTACTCATATTTGACCGTGATTGGCCAATTTCTTAAAGCTTAGGGCTTAAATCATCTATTGTAGACTGGGACTAACTGCATAAACAATTGCACCCATGGGTTGTTAATTACAATCGTTGATTACAATTAATTTGCATCCGGAGCACGGAAGTCGAATGCACAGCGATAGTATCATTACAGTTGTAGCATGCTCTAATTCGCTTAAGAAATACGCAACGCGCTTGCATTTTTTGGTAATCTCGCTTCCCGTTTCACGCTGCATAAAGCATTTCAAGACGCCAGCTACAATTGTAATCGCAACTTCGATCCAATTTCGATTAATTTAATCGGCTGAATAGCATAAAGAAACATTTCTGATTATATAATTTCTTATCCTCTCTCTCTCTCTCTCTCTCTCTCTCTCTCTCTCTCTCTCTCTTAATCCACAATCTTTCTCTCCATATATTATAAAATTTGTCGGTCTAACAGAACGATACAAGATTGCTTAATAATCATTGAATTGATAATTAATCCAAGTCCAATTAAATCACCCTAAATGTAATCTAATCTCTCTCTCCATTATATTATAAAATTAGTCATTTTATCTATATTGACAAAACGTATAAGAGATAGCTAATTGAATAGTTAATTAAGTTAATCAAAGTGTATTCAAGTCACCCTAAATGTAATCCAATTTTTATATATCGTAAAATTAGTCATTCGTGTGTAATAAAACGTTCTATTCACGTTAACGAACCGGTACAAGATTGCTTAATAATTGAATCGTTAATTAAGTTAATGGAGACTCAATTAAGTCGTCCTAAATGTTGTTCAGCGTGAAAGGGGAATAAGTCAGTGCCACGCAACGCAACAGACGGGAGATAAATGAACGTAATCCATCCAACTTAGGCGAATTATAAATTACGCTCATTACAATTCCTTACTCTTTAATTGCAAGCATAATCACCCGCTTAGAAAGTCACGAAACCTTTAAGAAAGTCGTCCTCCCCTGAAAGATCATCTCCTGCTTATACGGTCTCGTACTCGACAGGCCCCCCTCGCTGCTCTCTCCACCGATTCGACGATCCGATCGTCCCGGTTCGGTTCGACCGCGCGCGCGGCTCGTCGTGACCGCGGGGACGAAAAATGCGTGTTGCGCGTTCGCGGACGAAACGTCCGTTTCGCAAGCGCGCGAGAGCTAATTCGATGGCGAGCCGCGCGCGCGATCCGCGTGGCGAGATGAAAGTGCCTCGCCGTCATCTCCCCTGCGAGATAGGTCCTTATTACTCTCTCGGGAGAGCCTCCGCGCGGTGCGCACCTCGAGTCACACGCAAGTGGGGTACACAGCATGCACGTACCCGTCGCGGGTGGCGAGTGACGAGAAGGGGGATGCTGAAATTCATGCACGCGGCCGGCGGCGGCCTTTCCGACGTTCTCCGCACCGGCCTGGATCAGTTCCTATATACCGCATCCACGACGCGTTTCGCGGAATCCGGCTGCTTCCTGTTAGAGTACCCGCGTGTCCGCTGCAAGAGAGATCCTTGCCGCCGCGACTGCGATCCGGGGACCCGGGCGTGCTCGTCTCATTGGGATCCTGCTCGATCGGCGCCCGAGGATGACGGTGGGTGAAGTGAGACGGGACGAACCTGTGCCTCCCCCGCGGGGTACCTTGACCGCTCGTCGACGGTCGCGCAGCTACCTCCTCGTCGTTCCATCTGAAAACTTTAAATTATTTTAATCCCCCTTGCCTGTTCGCGTCGAGACGTCGAATGCAGTCGAATGCACTGGGAAAAGTTACGATCAACGATACGTCGCGACTCGATTGACAGCTGACTTCTTGAAAATAATAGAATCTTCTAAATTGCATAATGTTTGGATTCTTATTTTTCAATATTGGAAATACTAGATTTACATTATTTCCCAATATTGCGCCAATATATTGTACTACTAGGGTAGTAGCTATTGAACGCCAATAGTTAAAAGCAGTTATCACTACTGTAATCGTTACTGTAACACTAGTTATAAACAGAGTCCACATACAATTATTAACTATTGATCAGTGTGAATTACTAGAATGCAATAATAGGTACTACTGGAATAACTAGTGCAGAGATTTCAAGTGCGAACTAATAGTGTTCATAAGTTTGCAATATACAATCAACTAACAGTGCATATTCCGTACAGTGTATATTGCAGTTGAGCATTTCTTCTAGCGTTCAGTAACCGGTAAACCAAGCGGTAAACACTAAGGGTCAGTTTCACAAACGTCGGTTAACAGCTAACCGAAGGTTAATTGACTCTCTGTCTCTTCTTAGATAACAAAATAGAAAAAGATAGGACGTTGACTGAACTCTGGTTAAGGGTCATTGCACACAAAATTGCATAGTTGCATATGCATAAGAACCGTCTAAACCAACGAGCATCAAGCATTGAATCGTCATATTGATTTACATAACATGCTCATTGATCCAGATGGTCTTATGCTATGTATATGCAGCTATGCAATTTTGTGTGCGATGGCCCTAACAGTTAACCGTTTGTGAAATTGGCCCTAAGTAACAGTTACATAAAATCATATTATAATTTCTTACTCAATACAATAATTGTAATATAACACATGTCGTACGAAAAATATCGTATAAACGCGAGTTAAATTTTCCGTTACAAATTCGGATTTAACTAGCGTTTATACATCTTTCACATCAATAGTTTTTAACTGATCAGTAGTTATTAAAGTCAAAGGTGACGTCTAAATGTAGTCATTAGTTCAACGTAACACAAAGTAGTACAAAAATAACTAACAGTGCAAACTACTAGTATGAACGTAAAATTACTAGTGCGAACTTCGCTGGTGTCACAAGCTTTTTCCCGAACGGGAGCTTTTACATTAATTTTCTATGCTCTACACTACGAATTAATGAAATTCTTGATTTTCAAGCAATTCGATAAAATTGTTATTACTTAGAAGAAATGAAAATAATATGTTGCAATCTAGCAAAAGTATGTTTACTTTGTAATTTGTAGAGAAAATGATGGCTCAAGCAACTTTTCCATTTCGATTTTTACTCCTTAAAGTAAGGGTCCCTAAATAACACAGAGAATCCGGATTAAAGAATTCGTTTTGAATCCTGAATTATAACATTAATTCTTTTCCCATCCCATTTCTAGTCTTAAAACACTCTTAAGAGTTCAAAAGGAGTTCGCTTTTACGTCACTTAATTCCGAGTCCTTTTCGGATATAAAAGTGTATTTCTTTATGAGAATTTGTGCCGAAGAGAAATTCTTTTTCAGTTTACGTTGAACGTATTACGCTGATTCATAATTTAAAAAATAAATCCCTTTTGAAGTCATGTAACGATCAATCATCTGTGCTATTTGGGGAAGGTATTATACGTAAGCTAGCTTTACAACAAAGTTTCTTTGACGAAAGAAACTTCTTTGTGAAACTTACGTTCCGGCACTTTTCGGGCCGCTATTGCAATCGTATCGAGTAATCACTCCCACGCGATAAATTAGTTTATCTACGGATTTAATGTATCATTAGAAAGGTAGAAGACGGTAACCATTATGCACGCACTTACAAATTCTTGTGCATGCGTATGCGTGTGTATCAATGTAATTGCTTCATTGCGACTCGCTGTTACTTAATCAAATCGTGATGTATCACGAGAATGGGATCGCTCTCAGTTTACAGCAATACATATATTTTTTTTCATTCTCATACGCTGTGTGTCAACACTCTTACTAATCAGACTGTATTGTGCAAAAGTGAATTAGGTCGCAAACTACCCAAAGTATATTAAGACACCTTAGTGTCTTTAAGACGACGTTCAAGACGTCTTTTTCGCATGCTTGAGTAATTGTTCCTGCTCGCGTGCTTAAAATATTTCGTCCTCGATCAAACACTCATAAATTATAAATTGCTTTCTAATAATATAGGAAACATTTAGAAACAGTGACTCATATTGCACATTTAAAAAGCTATCAGAAAATTATACAAAAGCAAATTGAATCGCAAATCGTCTCGACTCAACAATTAAAATGCTTCTTATTCTCGATTTAATATTTATAGATTATAAATTACTTTTAATTAAACATATACACATCAAGAAAGTTTTAACATTAAGTTCAAAATGACATTGTGTATAAACCAATTAATTATATTTCACAAGTTAGTTTACTTTGCGCAACGTTGTCTCTTTTGTCGTCGATAACAACCGAGTTTTCTCTCCTGTGTGTGTATGAGAAAGAAAGAGAGAGAGAGAGAGAGAGAGAGAGAGAGATATCTCACGCCCTTTCGAAACTCGATCCTTTCGCAAATTCCGGAGAGTACCGAATCGCCGCTCGATTATCTATCAGCGCAGAAGTGCTACTTATGCACACGAAATTTCCGCACTGCTGAATCTCAAATGTCGGATTCAATAGCGGCCGATTGTACTCCCAGGTGAAGGTGAGCGGAAAGGAAGGCGAAAGGGTGGGTTTGACACGCACGCACCGCCGAGCACGTGTGCGTCTCTTCTATGAGCCTCCTCGAGGAACCGTCGAGGACTAAGCTCGTGCGCACACACGTTTCGTCGAGGCGTAGACGCGCTTACTCGCGATCGGTGTAGGAGTACCGATGGTATGCAGAGATATAACTACTGTCGCGGTCGCTAAAAATATTGCCTTTCAAAGCGCAATGTTGCTGCCTCCAATCCTGGTGGGAAAAGTCTGTTTTGTATACTCGCAGGGGAGGGCAGCGTTCCGCAAGCAGGTCGTCGAAATGACGTAACATGGTCTGACGTTACGTCAAGTTTATGTTATAATAAATTACTGTCGATGCACCTCTGGAGAACCTAGAAGCAAGAATGATGTGTTAGAAATTGATAACCACGGGATCGTAAAGGAGCTAATAAAACACGCTCTCTGAACCTTCTTGTTATATGTTGGCAAGAGCGTCAATATTTTACGGCCTTACGAAAGAGGAAAAATCGAGAGATATAGATATTACCGATTAAATTCTTCATGACTAAATAGAATATTTCATATTATAATTGATTTGTAACATTCATTTAAACAAAACTGGAATATTGATGGATTAACGTTACTTTGTTTTTTTTTACTATTAAACTGTCGCGCATGAAGCGTTTTATTAGCGTGTAATGGTTGATGGTGAGAAACATTGATTAGGAAAATGTTCTATAAAACATAAATTTTCTAAATGGATTGTTTCACGTGTAACGATCTAATTAATTCGATTCTTTTCAAGATACAGACGGTTGATACACTTGTTTGATGTTGACACATTTTTACGTATTAATAAAATATCACTCACAGACTTCACTGCAAAGATTAATCTCGCAGATTAATTTTTGGGAGCAATTACATAATTTCTTCCTATGTTATGCAATTGAGTTCCATATGCGTCTGCATAGAACCATATTTTTAGAACCGTACTCACCTTGACACATTTTTGTAACATGTGTTTTGCACGGTCCCTTTTCTGCGTCGTGATTCATTAAAAAAAGAGATTTATCTGCCGTAAACGTGTATATTGTGATGTAGAAGCCCTCGCCGCAGGCTGTCTTACGGAGAGCAAATAACGCTTAAAGTTTCCGTCAAAATTGGAGTCTATTCTTTTCTAGTGATACAAGAGACATATATGTATAACATATTATCGTGTCTAAACAGTCGCGTTGCTAATTTCAAAATTCAAAAATTGGTTTCATGTTAATGCTAGAATCTATTAATCAATTTGCATCGTTATTTCTTATTAAAAATTATTACTGTTGCATATTCTATAACAACAATATACTTTTGTAATGAATATTAGATTTAATTGGTAAACACTAAACTCGTTTCGGGTTAAATATATATCCAATCTACGAGGAAGTCACGTAAGAAGTGAATAATTTTACTATTGCCGTTGGCTACCTTACTTTTCTTTGCAAACGAATTTCTACGTTCGCAACGTATCGTGTACGTATCGTATCTTGAAACCCGAGCGTGCAATATGATATAACTCTTGCCAAGAAAATTTTCTGTGAAAGCTATTCGAAGTTTCATGACGTATTAAGTTTCAGCAATCGTGCATTGTCAAACAATATATTTTTTTAAGTCAAACATTTAATGGATACAATAAAGTACAGTACAGTGCATTAATTCGGTTCGGATAATATTATAATTAGGGATGGACAAAATTATACTTAAACGTAGACGCTTTTTGACAAAATGACCCGAGGCGAATTAATGCACCGCACTGTACTCCGTAACGAGCTAGTCAGAAACAGATTGAGACATTCCGGAACGCAGCAAAATCTACTTTCTAACTTTATTTTTACACGAATTGTGTTTTAGCAAAAGTTTGAAAGTTTTTTGCTGAAGAGAAGTCGACTCCAAAGTAGTCGTGAAATATACTCCAGAATTTCTAAATCACTTTTCTCACGTTTTCGCGACTGACAGACATCCGGCAATGATTCTGACGACAAGATACATCGTTAATTACGAGATAAATCGCTATTTTGATTTCAGATAACAGTGGTGTTGCTGCTTCTCACGGTGACTGTGGCCAGTTCCCTGCCGCTCGCCAATGTGCACGTGAAATTCGTGTCGCCTCCCAATGTGTACGAGCACAGCATTACAACAGACGGTTAGCTATCGGTTGCGCAATAATGCTTTATGTCGCACTAAGTTGTGAAGTGCTTTAACTCGTTCGCATTCGTTTCCAGGTGATCGAACAGTGGCTCAGAAGTCGTTCATCTCGATCGGCCGACGAAGTGCAACAAAGTATTCTAAGAATCCTGGTGATTATTTTATTTCTGTACTCGTACAGTTATTTTGGTGCAATTAATTAAGAGTTATTCAACATTAATGATGTATCTTTTAAACGATATTTAATGAGAAAATCATTTATATCCATAATACGGTTCATTTTTACAGATTATGATTATAGGACGAGTTTATGGCAAAATCACTTACGACAAATGATAGCGAATCCAGGAAACGCCGAATCACTGTGGCCGGTCGGCGTTTTTCTACCACCAATTGACGTCAATGATCTTGGATATAGCTGGCAGGAGGTGCAACACGACATTCCCGACTTCTACAAATCTCAGCGTAAGCATTTCTTTTCGGTAATTGCTGGCTGATAATACAAAATGGTTTACATGTATTCACTTTTTAATTCATGATGAAATTTTGAACAAAATGACAAAATTCTAATTTGTCTTTGTAATCTTCTTTTACACATACACACCTGTATATGTACACATATGTGCATATTGCTTTGTATAATTCTGGTTCGTTCCAATTGCAGAACAAGATCCATTTTTATTGACCGACCGTGAAGCAATGATGGCAATTAAATATCTCTACGGATTGGGTGAGCTTTTCTTCGACGATTATCCTCATGTAAGAGCGATACTACGAAATCAGCAAGAAAGGAGGCTGAACGGCTTACATGGACACATTCTTGGCAGTCTGAATCCTAAGTCTCCGTTCCATAGGGAATATAGGAAGGAATAGCTAATCTAAGAATGATGAAAGTGATTTACATCCAAGATTATTGGGTCCAAACATTTGAGCAAGCTATACATAATATTTTTTTTACAATTTACAATTATGTGAATGTTCTGCAAAATATAACAAGCTAGAAACTAACGTGTATTTTCGTGGAGAGGACAGGAATGATGTATTTAAGATTATATTCAGTTTTAAGTTACTAATTTTAAATTACTAATAATAAGATATAAAGTGTCCCATCATTGCTGCATCAACGCTGAATGGCAGATTTTTGTACATGTTTCTCAAATTAATTCCAAATTAGCAAAATTAATTAAATAAACTTAAGTGAAAAAAAATATATATCTAAAAATATATTAATACTAAAACACACCTTGTTATTATTTTATGATATGCATTATAAAGAACACATTATGTTACACATCCGCAGCACTCGTCTGTCAGTGCTGATTCTTATAGAAATTCTCGCTTTTTCTACAAAGAGCTCACAGTAAGTTTAATCACTTTAGTTCATCCATATGAGTGTTACGAATGTCCTTAAATAAGCCACCGTGTTAAGTATACAGCTATCATTGTTAAAAGACCACTGGCGACGGATGTTCTTATTGTTCCATTGCAAAGATCCCCATAACACAGGCACATATACACTTTCTTGTAATTCCACACGGTATAAGCGCATCTCTCCTCGTTGTCGTCAGGGCCTCGCTGGAAGCACAATCTTTGAGTGGCGGTACCATATTCTGTAAAATATAAATTTGTTAATATTTTTAGGTCTCTTTATAAAAGAATAATTGGATTGTATCAATTAAAAAAATATTTATTATTTAACAAATAATTTTATTAACATGTAATATGTAATACGAAAATAATGTTAATATAAACTTTATATATGACAAAAATGTATTGCATTTTTATTGCAGAACGATACAAATTATGTTGCTGAAAATAAAACTTTTTTTTAATAACTTACCATTGTTTAAATTTTGACTCTCAATGATTTTTCCGCACCACCCGGAAACACACGGTACCGCGTCGATGCCTTTTTCGACCGCGATTTGCGTAGAATTCATAGTGAAAGGATCTTTGCACGAGCCCAGGTCTCCCCTCGATCTGCAGCTTACGCATCTTCGAAGAATGCCTGCAATAGCGCGACGAATGAAACTGTCACTTTTACCTACTATCGCTCGAGCGTCATTTCACTTGCGTCGCGATAGACATCGAACGATTAATGATACGCGGCATTTTCTTATAATCTATATAAAGCGTTGAGTAAAGCAAAATTATTTATGCAATACGATACAATATAATTTGTACTTCAATAACAATTAATCCGTAATTAAGTAACACTTTTTTGTTTATAAGATACAGAAATAAATATTCACACAAAATATTAATACTCTAAATCTAGTATTAACAAAACAAAAATTCTTACTAAAAATGGCATATTGATTAAAACTTGAAAAATTTCGAATTTTTTCACGTTCGCAATTTTACATTATCCAAAAAAGAGAAATTCTAGCATATGTCCTTTCCTTTGTTAATCGTAATTATTTTCTCTCTCTCTCTCTCTCTCTCTCTCTCTCTGGTATTAAATATTATTTGTCATTTTGTTAAGAAGATATTTAAGCACCAAAAATTTCAAGAAATATACAGATGAAGTAATTGAGAAAGTTTCTCGAGACTCGCGATAGAAACTCACCGACGCATTCCTGAAGCGCGATTATGCAGAAAGTCGCGACGATCGCTTGGACGCTCGTTCCAAGTTTCATCCTATTTTGCCTTTAATTTCAGTTCAGTCTTTTTGTGAGTGAAGCCTATTGGCCCGTTAACGAGCACCGTAGACAACGAGCCGGGAGCTACGATGGGACACAGCCATTTTGAAACTAAACTTAACTGTCTGGAGACGGATACGTACGCCTTGTAGCTGTCTCTACCAGTTCCCCCTTTCACTCGAGTTTAAGGTCACAGCATGCCGAGGAAGATCAGATCGAGGGAACGTGAAGGAGACAGCCATGAGGTCTCGCGAAGCGTTCTCGACCGATAACTAGTCGCATGCTTGCTCAATAGATTCATTCACAATAACATTAAAGTACAGAATTGCGCGTGATAAAAATGTGCAGTTAACAGCGTTAGCCAAGAAGCAAAACTTTTCAATAATTCAATATCCTCCTGGAAAAAAAATTTCAGCTTTAATAAGCACATAAAAATCACCGTGAAAAAAAATACATTGCACATTTACAGAGAGATCAATAGTTTAAAATCGAAGTTTAATCTACAATAATATGATGTAATTATTACTATTAACTTCCATAAAGTGTCAAGATAAAATTTGTAGTTTGGCATCGAGATTATTCAATCTCGTCTCCCGAAGGCTCATCTTGCGGCAACAGTTGAAATTTGTTTCTTTGCCGACAGGTCATTATTACACCCGCACAGTAGCAGAGTGAAGTCAAGAAAATTATAAATCCCAAATAACCCAAGTGCCGAAAGAAAGCTGTAAAGAGCGACACGTACGAAAAGATGTTAATAATTTTACAATTAACTATTTAGCGATGAAACTTTTGTTATCATTATTTTTGTTACTATATTACACTTTATATACTCTATAATAATTTTCATTGTGCGAGTTTTCACTGACCTTGCGTCAAAAGCCGAGTCTTAGATACAATAACGATCTTCAAGCGCATCATGTTAATGTTATCCACGAAACAGGTATAGTTACCTTGTTCCTCTCTGGACACGTCTACCGAGAGAAAATGCGCATAGTATTAAGATTTAATACACGTAGAAATTATGAATTCTTGTCACGCATTTGGATAAATAAAACAAATATCTTAGATTGCACTTTCATAAAATCTAAAAGATCAATACAAGTTACCTGTTAAATAAAGTGTCGAGAAAGGGTCTACCATCACTCGAGCCTCTTTATCTTTTCTATGAAATGACTGAACTGTTCCCTTCTTCAAAGTGAGTGTGTCCTTTTTCCAAATTACTTGCGACGCTGAGCTCGACCTACATATTCAAGATGTGTCGTCCGTTTCTAATTTTTGTATTTAAATGTATAAGATACGTTAAGCGCCAAAGGATTAACTAAGAATTTTGTGAAAGATTACGCTTCTAGAATCTTTGGGCGAATTACTCCGGACAAGTGACGGCAAGATGCGCGCCTTCGGCGAGAACATATCGCTTGGCGTAACGAAACTTTTCGCCCTTTCTCCTTTTCTTCACGGATGGGCACTTCTTGCAAGATTCTGTTAAAATAAATTCCGGCAAAGATCGCACGACACGGCTGACGCTGGGAAATTCGTCCCGGAGCAGAACGGATCTGAGAATGCATAGTGTTTTTAAAAGTTGTCGCGTTGTATTGCGTGAACGGTCGCTGTTGGAGATGCACAATTACAGACATTTACTTGCAAGGAAGCATCGGAGAGCCCCGGAAGAAGTGTACAATGATCGAATCATTTTTCTCTATCACCGTCTAAAATAATCATTGATATTAAGAAAATGTTTAACGAAGTTGCAATAAAGGATATAAAAAATTCAAAATTTAAAGTTTACAATGGAAATTTTTAAGTTTTTAAATGGGAAAGACTAGAAACACAAGTATGGTACTCGCCAAATTTATGTTGCGCTTTAATCTACAGAAGCCTCTGCTGGTTTTGATACCGCGATTATCTAAGCACTGTTTGCACGGGCCCCAGGGACCCCATTCAGACGCTACTTGAAGGATTACCCCTTCCTCACGGATCTCTGCCAAATCCATCATTTTCGAGACCTAGCGAAAGATTCTTTCTTTCAATTACTTTAGACAACTACTAGCCTGGATGTGATACGTGCATATACGTCGCGATTACTTTAAACCAAATATTTCTGGTTTGTTTTTCGTTTGAATATCCCAGTGAGACATGATTCGTCGATCGGTGTCGAAACAATGTCGAATCGACGTCATGTCTCATTGAGATAGCGAATAAAACAATATATATCGCAGTTTTATTTATAATCAATTGACAACTCGTTAACTTACTGCAAATCTCATGGTTACAGGCCATAAATATATTTCGCGATACTTTTCCCACTCGGTTATGTTTCCTTTTTCTACAAACTCGCCGCCGATATCCTTGAGAATCGCTAGCTTGCATAAAAATAAAAATATTAATTTTGATTCTCAGAATTAACATTTTAAAAACGCAAAATAAATTGTTACTATTCTATAATCTCTTTCTCGATTAAGAATTTTTAGTAATAATCCAACTAAAAAATAAAGCTGAGCATCCAAATACACATTCAGAGTGAAATATGCATAGTGCAATATTACCAAGAAATAAAATATATTACATCAATTGTTATCATTTGTTTTACGTTCAAGCCTATAATTGTATTTGTCCCCTTCCTCTTGTCCCTCTTTGCCGTGGCATCGATAAATGCCGGCGTCAGCGGCTGTAAAGCTCTTCACGACGAGAGAGAGATCCGGCGTTACATAGACTCGACTATACGAAACGTTGTTGTCCATTCCCAGCTCGACTTCCTTCTCCGGGTTTTCCCGATACCGATCTTGATAGTACCAGATTTTTGGCTGCGACTCCTCGTGCTCGTTGCTTCTGCGAAAATTTGGATCAAACAGTTCACCGAGAAACGCGCCGCTTCTGAAGACACATCTCTCGTGTCCCGAGAAATTGTCACAACTAATTAAATTTATTAAGAAAGCTTTATTTAGAACGACTTCGACCAAAATGATTAACTTAACGATTTAACTAACTAACCGTAAGTGTTTAATTTCTCGTTCTTAATTTAATTTCCATGCTAAAGCAATGTATGAATATTAAATGCCAGCAATTGGCTGGCTTGAACTGATGCTGTTTCTTCACTAGGAATGTGAATTCAATGTTTGAGCGATTTAAGTACAGCTAGCATTAACATATTGTCGTAGTTAAAGTGCAGAGCTAAATGGAGAACATCAAATGGGCACACTGTTAACAAAGAAATAGTATTGTTTCCAGTTTTCAAAGAGATATAAACATATTACATCTATTACATCTGACCAAGCACTTAATGCTAATATAATGTTTGGACCATGTAAATATTTCATAGTAGACAACAGCACAATAGACAACATAGATGCATAGTAAGATGCCAACATTTTTGTTAGCAATATAAAAGCAACTTGTGCTCACAATGGCTATTTCTTTTTGTTTCATTTTCACCGAAAAAGTATTAGGCAAATAAAAAAATGTTTCAGGCAAAAGATGTTCATGTTAATTAGTAGAATAAGATAGTATAATAAACAATAGGGGGTTCCATTCAAAAAATTGAAGGTGACCTTCAAGCAACTCAAGGCCAAACTAATGGCACCCCCTTTGAACCAAATAACTTTTGTCTGAAACGTTTTTCTGCGATCAAAAATAAAAAGTTATTTGAGGTGAGACATTAAATTGGGACACCCTGTATATTATATTTTTGCAACGGTCAGAAATTTTCTAAGCTAAGATTGGATCATTATTTTTTTTTAGTGAGATAATTCAATTTCAGGACCTCCAACAGTTGTAAAAAAAATATTTTGCCAAGCCCAACCAATGTTAACTCAATATAATTTAACAATCCCAGATAGCACAGGATGTCCTGTGGACGTCCAGTTTAAGTCCAATTTACGTCCGAACGTCCGTGAACGTGAAATGGACATTTAACGGATGTCTGTTGTCGTACCTTGAACGGATATCCTTTACGGGACATCTTATGGCAATCCGGCACTGCGCGACACGCGCGCGGGCGCGCGAGCGCCAGCTTCTGAGTAGTTCGCTGACCGCCGCTAGGCCGCGCATGGTGGCGGCCAAAAACTCGGAAGCAAAATCCAGTCTCGTAGGGTATAAAAGGAGGCCCGCTTAAGGCTGGATTCAGACTGAACGCGATGAGCGATGAGCGACGAGCGACGAGCGACGAGCGATTATCCAATGGGCGTACAGATTATACGGGAAAGCGTATAGTTTTCCTATAAAGACTGTACGCCCATTGGATATCGCTCGTCGCTCATCGCTCATCGCATTCAGTCTGAATCCAGCCTAACCCATTGGAATACTTG